CAAAGGACTTTTAAATGGATCTTAGTGGACAAAACCTAAATTCTATAGTCCTCATTCTCTACGTTTTTCATTTTGTCAGGGAGTAAATTAACGTACTTGCTTCTTATAAGAATTGTCACGTGGTCATCAAAAGTGGGGATAAGTCTCCCCTTGTCGATAGCCTCAGTAGGTAACTGCTTCTTAAATGGTCTAGCAACAACCGTATTTTAATGGTTCTTTTTCTTGCAGTGCTCTTCAGCTACAAAGAGTTAGAGAAACGTGAGGAAAGTTTTTGAAAAGCACAGTCATCCTCTGGGTGGAAGTATGTTGATTAAGGTCTACCAGTATACTTTGTAGATAAATGTCCATGATGTGTAGTAGATCGCATAGCTTTTCCGACGACGTCAATAAAAACAAGACTTCGTGAAGAATTAATCTTGTCAATACAAATTGCGTTTAAAGTTGTGATATTACGAAGAATGTCTCGTGCGTAGCTAACCGCCAGGCACCTCTGAAAAATTTTCTTTTGTATGTATATATTCATAGCCTACCATGTTCCAGTTTTAATAAGTTGATAGCACTACCAAACTGTCAACACCCGGATTTTAAATCCGAGGAAATCGAAATACCAAGGACAAGTACTTTTGAATTAAGAGATTAAAGAATTCGTGTATTCCTCAATTGTACAGCTAGCAGCTGTGAAATACGTATGGAGGCTAGAATAATATCTATAATTAAGATTGTCCATAATTTTATTTGTAGTAGTACCGAAACACGTTAAGTCAGAGTTTGAATCACATCTAATCACATCTAAACAACATTCCATTTATCTACCCTGAAGGCTTCAAGCAGTCGCTCAATTCCAATGCAAGGTATCATAATCCCTATTTCCTTGTGGTTGATAATCAAGCATATCATAATTATCGCATTGTTCAGATACATAAATAACAGTTCAAACATGATCTTTTCTGGTGTAGCTAAAAATAGAACCGCCAATGCTACTGTCTCCGTACTGTGTACTAGAAATAACCAATTCACAATTGTTGTGTTTCAACATCGTGTACGATAACATTATTCCTTATATCTAATGGCAATTTACATTAATAATTTCTTAATCGTATAAGGTCTCATGAATATTAGGTTGATTTTAATACTGGAATAGACGTTCGATACAAGAACTTGTCATCTTTCGGACTGCGCTAAGATATGACTGAAATAGTATTGATGGATATTGAGGGATGATTGGGATAATATTAAGGTATGTTAGAGTTATGTTGACATGTGTACGGTATGATATTAAAGAATATCCGAAATGATATTAAGGGATGTCCGGAATCATATCGAGTATTGTTAAACATCATTATTATTCTTATGTTATTACTTTTCTCTTTGTCGTAATATGTTATAATGAATGTAAAAGATACTTGTTAAAATTATTAACTAGAGTTTTGAATAATAACTTGTGGTTGGTACAACAGCAAAAATGACAATGATGAGGCGGACATGTGTAAATCCAGTTTACTTTACATTCTAGGATTATTACAAGGACATACAATACAAGAAAAAATGATACAGCAATTGAGTTAGACTTTTATTTGTAAGGAGAATATATAAGCACAAGAATCCCCACTGCTAAGTTGATGACCAGATAAATAGATGCATGATGGCATAAATAGTAGCATGACATAAATACCACATATCTTTATACCAAAAACTAACTAACCGAGTTTTGATGGTGCGGTAACATTGTTGTAAGTATGAAAGCTTTCATGGCCCGTGTTAATTAAACTAAAACTAGAAAAAGTGGTTGACATTTCGGATGCCATGTTGCAACCTTCAGTGATAGTGCTACTATTAGTTCCAGTTTTAGTTTAAAAAGTATAGAGTTATTTAAATTTAAAAGAAAATGTAGAAATAGAGTTACAATGCTCTCTATTTATATACTTCACAATGAATAGAAAATAAAAACAGAGATGATCCATTTTTCGGTAAAAGTTAAGGTAGGCGCAGTTATAAAGTTAACACGGGTCACAATATTGTTGTTTCAATCTCCAAGAAAGTCTGCCCTGGCAATGTGAAAATAACAATTTTACTTTTTCCAAATTTATCGAATTACGGATAAAATTCAAAAATCACTATTTTTATTATTTTGCGAATAACGTCTCTACTGAATCATTCTGGAACGATTGCATTACATAAAAATTTTCTCTATAGAAGTAATATTTAGACAAGTTTTGTCGAATTAGATAACTCTGTAGATTTATTATGTCCCATAAGAAGGGGACACTTAATTGGTAATCTGCCATATATTAGGGATTTATACTACGAAATAAAATGTTTAAAAAATATAAATAGAAAATCAAGCCATGATATGAAAAAATCGAGATGATACAAATTACGAACGGCACCAATATTCGTTTTCATTTTTCAATGGAAAGTTCCCATGTATGCTTGTGAGCAAGATGAATAACATTTCTATGTTTAATTCTATTGCAACGTTGTTTGCTGTATTAAGTAATTCGTCAGTTATTGTATCAACATCCTTCCGAGCATTTTTAATATGTTCTTGTTTGTGAAGTATTCTCTTTATGTTGAGAGAGAGCCACAATCAAAACTATCCATACTGCTTGTAAGACATTAACCACACATTTTGCACTTGCACATAAGACAACATTAAACAATGGCTTCGTATCCGCTGATTGCAGATTTTTTAGTACCAAATTATATTTTTCGGGCGATCTCATTTTATCCATTTTTAATAAATATGATTGATAAATGTGTTTATTACTTATAACGCGTTGATGCTAACCACAAAATTAACTTTGAGGTACTAATCAAAAAAAGATAGAAGAGTATACAACTTTCTTAAAAAAGTATTAACCTCGTAATCATCCAAACTAAACCCATCGCAACGTTTTTGTAAGAGAGTATAGCAAACTAAAAGTATCAATTACATTTAGCAGCAATTGCAATTACTTTCAGTGTCGCTAAACTGAAATAAAAATAGTATTCCTTCCCATAGATTTCTTCACGAAACCACAAATTAATTGATAGCTGTTTTAATCCCACCCTGTCCTCTGTATCGTGGGCTGAGTAAGCCATTACTTTCTTAACATCACTTATTACACCACCTTATAGCGCTTTTGCCACAATACCACTAATTTGTTTTATATTTTCTTCAAGATATCAGCTGCAATTCGATGGTGTCTTTAATTTTATATCGCAATAATCAGTCGAGTTTTAACATTTACATTATAAGAAGTAAAGATGTTCGAATGAAAAAAGCAAAGATTTTTCGAGGAACAGTTTTTAAAGGAAAATGAAAGAGATGAGGAAGTCATTCAAAGCGATCCTAACTCACACGTAGATAAGGAAGATATTAAAAATTGGTATAATAGAATATAAGAAACTAATACAACTGAAGCCACATATCTGGGGAAACTAATCTCTGGGGTATTCTGCACCAATCAGCTATGGACAAAGTAAAAAACCCGACTATGTCTTTCAAATTAAAAAGACAAGACTGCACCTTACGATCGGCTGAGAAAAGATAGGTAGAATACTGTTGAGCGCCCTGCTTCCGAATGAGCTTCCTTAAGCTTTTCGGCAAAAATTGGGAGGTAGATATCAGCATAAAGGGAAACGCTATGTGGAATGTTATGCTTATTTTTTATACGTAAAGGGTATGCTTTGTCTAATAAACGACGGACGGCAGCATTCAAAGTGATCATACACTTGAGCTATGCATTTGTTGATTGTTTTCATTCAATTAATTAGTTAACATGAAGGAAAACAAAAATGGATCATTGCTTCACAAAAGAATGCTACTTAAAATACTAGAAAAAAACGGCTCATAATACATACAATATATCAAATACGTTCTCGTCTTGTAAAGTAATATGTTATCATAGGAATTTATACAGACTGGTCGGGTTGAGTATCTTACGTAAACCCAGGTGCTCGTTGTTAGGGAGCGACTAAGAATTATTTATTATATAACCATTCTACACTTATGATAAAATGTACCTGTAAGTGAGTAAGTTGTTCGTTGTATCTTGTAAAAGGTATTCGAACATAATTTTAGGAGAGAACCAAAAGTCGTTTTCTTTAACCAAAAGCTGACATATTAACTTAAAAATGAACAAATTTTCTTGAAAACCAAGATACATTATGTGCAAAAGGCACAAAGCTCTGTTTTGTGATCATCATACAAACTTTTATCACATTTTGCACACACGCTTAAAGGATGGACAAACAAAGCAAGTCTTCCTTTTTCTAGTATTCTTTGTTTGAATATTGGTATTTCAAGTCTGTCGGTTAATTGACTTGAATTTGAGAAATAGTATAACAATAAAGTATTATTTATTGTGTACTTGTATTAAATTTTTAAGTTACTATCTGTAATAATTAATAAATTTTATAATAAATTTAAGAACATTTTTAATAAATATTATATTAATCAATTAAATATAATCGATAATTACACTATAAAGAAGAGTTGTTGAGAAGACCGAAAGAAAAAAGTGAACAAAGAATCAAAAAGAGGATTCGATGATTTAGGGGTTTCCCTTTCGAAAATAAAATTTTGATTTGATAATGATAGGTGGCGGGAGGAAATTACTTGCATTTTCGAATTCCCCTTCTCGATCAAAGCACCCAACCATTTGCCTCACATATACACTTTTAGATTTAGGCTAAAACGTCATAGCCCCTAGCTGAAAAAGAAGGATTTTTTGTTCTGTTTAAAACCATCCACATTTCGTACTTTTATAACAGCTCAACCATGCAATTAACGATGGGCCCCCTTCGTCGACTATTATTATGTCCTTTTCGAGTTGTACGTTTAATTATTATTGTGGGAGATAAATGCGCTCGGCTCGTTATAATTATTTAATTGCTGCTCGTGATATGAACTTTAAAACCTTAACATAACCATATTGGATCACAACATAAACAGGAACGTTAATTAGATCAAAATGTCTTTGTAACGGAGCTAAAAAGTCATTGTCAAGTTATTTTAAAAGTTAATTGTCAAGTTTTTGAAATGAATATTTCATCGAATTCCGAAATAGATTTTATCGAAACTCTAAAAAAATATAAAAAGTTATCGGAAAATCAAGAAAATCATAATAACTTATTAAAGGTAATTGAAATAATTAAAATGACATTTTTATTTAAACTTTTAACTAACTTTAAGGAAAAAACTGTAGTTTTATTCGTGGCGTCTCTTTTGGAACTTAACAATTTAACAATAACAACATTATGCTTAGATATTCTTAATAATTTAATTGAAAATTGCGATAACCATACACCTCTTATTATAACTTTTGGAATTTTAGAAGCACTCGAGTCTACTTCTATAAGGTAATAAAAACAACGTTAACAAATAAATTATTACTCTATCTTTTGTGTTAAGACTAAGAGAATTAGACAATAAACAAGCTTATAGAGCATCTGAAATGGCTGATGTTTTAAAAAGAAATGCTCCCCCATCACACAGCACAAGAAATAGATTAAAACAAAGACAACAAAGAAGAAACACAACGTTGGTTTATCAATTATACATTCCTCATTTAACACGGGTAAATTATAAAACAACTAAAATAAAGTAAAAATAAAATAATAATTTTAGGAAAATCGGCACATTTTCGATGAAACTATTATTAAACAGAAAGGATTGGTTTCGTTTGTGGTTGATATGGAGCAACAAAAATGTACAGTTAGGTTGAGTCCAAAATTACCTATTAAAAACGTTATTGAAGCTCTTTATAAGAATGGGGTAACTGTTTTATTGGTTAGTAAGAATAGGAATGATATTGATGAAGTAAGTATAAAAAACAAAGTTATTTTAGGCTGACTAAAATAAATAACCTTTTTTTAATTCGCACACTGAAAAAATTAAATAGAAAGTAATTTTTTTATTTTACTGAATTAAAACGACGACAAGGGACGCAAAGGACACTGTTTGATCAGGATATCATAAAATCATAAAGGTACCTGAATAAGGTCTAAAATCAGGTCCTGTAACATACTCTAACGACAAATAGCTGAAATATCTTCTCGTTTAGATGTTTTTAAATAGCTTTCTATATTTTTACTTTAATTTCAGCCTTTTAAAACTAGATGTCAAGATATATTTTTTTAAATTCTTTTTCTTTAAGTATTTTTTCAATTCTTTTTATAAACTTTTGTGCTACGATTCGTCCATATTCTCGGTAGTATCATTTTGCTATAGCAAAAGCTTAGTTGTCGTTGTCGTCATCTACATTTTCGGAAACCGAACGCCAGCGCTAGCGGACTGTACGTACATTTGTAACAGGACCGCAGAAATTTCTGGAGATATTAAGAATAATATCGTTCGATTAAAATTATTTTCTATACCATTCAGTTTTGATATATACTCTCTATTGTTTAAATCATGTTCTTTCAGGTCTACATAGATATATTCAGTAAATCAAACAAAAAATGTTTATCTCCCCAATATTTACCTGAAGACGATACGCCACCGAAAGCAAAATCATTGGCTGATGTAAATAATTTTAGAAAAAATGCGGGAGATTGGTTTAAAACAGCATCAGATTTTTTGGCTAATTCCTTTTATTGGTAATAGCTATAAAAAATTTTATTAATAAATATTTTGAATATAAATCTGTTTGTTTAATTTTAAATAAATAATGATTGTCTTGACATTTAAAATTGCGTTAAACGAACAAATAATTGTAAAATATGATGCAAAAAGTGGATGGCTAAAACGGTTTACAAAAATAAACCTGGTGATGGGGTGCGATCCAATTAGAATCAAACGGCTATAAGCAAAAGAAAGGGAGGCAAATACAAGAAACTTTATGAACTGAACGTTGATGTGTGAGGAAAACCATATAGAATAGTGGTGAAGTAAAATCAGCACGTTGGTAAAGTTGAAGAACGAAGAGTTAAAAGGTTCAGGTTGGGATATTTGTTCATGTTTGAATTTTTGGTAAAATTTTGCCAAAACCATTACATCGTACAAGTTTATACAAAATGTAAAACGACACAATTGCCATCTTTGTGTTATTTTAATAAGGCATTATTCTCTAGTGATTATATTTATGCTGGGAAAGGCTCAGATGGACGAACACTTTCACCACTTTCACGAGAAGAATAAGATCGATCAAATCTAATTTTCGATAATAACACTAGTTCACAAATTTTAATAAATTTTGTCCTCGAAGACTGCGATATTTTTTTTATAACGTAGAAAGTTGTGCTGATTCTGAAACTGTTTTCAGTTTTTCTCCATCACGTCCAGTTTTCGAGATATATCCAAAAATGTGGAAAATCGTAAATTAAAAAACAATAATATAAATACAACAAACCATAACATTCTTTTAAGAACTCGCGCGTTTACCTGTTAGACCTTTTTTGGTAAAAAAAAATTCTCATTGTTAAAAAACAATACCTTTCTATGAAAAAGTGTTTTTTAATAACTCCACTTCTTTATATATTAGAAGCTTGTTCTACTAAACAGTCTTTTTTTGAAATATTTTTTGGTATACAAGGAGAATATATTGTCATAATATTTAGTTCTTCTCGAGACACCTTAGTGATCTTTCGTTTAAGAAAATAGCAGTGTTGTAAAACTTGTGTTGATAATGGCTAGCAGCAACAGAAGTTTTAAATGCAAGAACAATCCTGATTTGTTATGTTTTATTTGAGGACAATACATTATTGAGATGACGGGACGACCAATTACAACTGTTATAAAACAGGTGTCTTCTCATTGTTTTGGGTTTGCTTTGACGAATTTAGACAAGCCCTGGACGCCCAGCTTCGTATGTCCGAATTGCGGTATAACTTTGAATAGATGGGTGGTGGGTGAATCTACATCTCATTTACAGTTTGGTATTCCAATGTTATGGTCACAGATATCAGATCATTCCGATTGCTATTTCTGTAACATAAACCTAGACAGCATAAACAAAAAAAACAAAGAAAAGTTTTGTTTATCCTAATGAAAGATCAGCCAAAAAGCCGATTCCGCACAGCGAAACTTTACCAATACCAAATCCTCCTGACCGATTAATGCAATCCAGTGAAAGTGATCAGAGTAAAGGAGAGAGTGAAGATTTGTCATCTAGCAGCGACTATGATGCCAAAATAAACCATAAACTGTCACAGAAAGAAGTAAGTGACTTAGCTAGAGATCTGAAGTTGTCGAAGATTGATAGTGAGGTATTGGCATCCCGCTTACAGCAATGGAATTATTTAGAGGCGAAGCATTTGTACAATTTTTTACGAAAGATCAAGGTATTTGTTATTGTAATAAAGTTGCAGAGACTGTTTGATGAATTGAAAATAGATCATAACCCAAGTGAATGGCGTCTTTTTATCGATAGCTCTAAAAGCAGTCTTAAAACAGCTTTACTTCATAATGGAAACACACTACCAACTATTCCACTTGCTCATGCCGTCAATGTTAAAGAAACATATGTGCGCATATCAGACGTTTTGACTCTAATTCAGTATAACGCATTTGAATGGAAAGTTTGTGCAGATTTAAAAGTAATTGCCGCAGTAAAGAAATTTACTAACTTCTACTTTTTAAGTATTGAGCTGGGTTTGATGAAAAACTTTGTGAAAACGTTGAATACAGAAGACCCAGCATTTAAATATCTCACCCAGCTCTTTCCACAACTATCGTACGCTAAACTAAAAGAAGTCATATTTGTTAGCCCTCAAATAAGAAAATTAATAGATAACAACGAATTCATGTCAACATTACCAAAAGAACCAACGGCGTGGATTAGCTTCAAGCAAACCGTCCATGGATTTTTAGGAAACTATAAGGATGAGAATTATCGCGAAATAATTTCCAACTTATTGCACAATTACGAAGCCATAACTGCAAATATGTCGCTCAAAATCCATTTTCTCCATTCGCACTTAGATTTTTTCCAAGCAATCTTAGAGCAGAAAGTGACGAACAAGGCGAGCGGTTCCATCAAGACTTAATGACTAAAGACCGGATTTATATGCTTTTGCATGTTTTGCATATAACTTCATATTTTACGTTTTTATCGCATATAAATTTAGTTATCCATATAGTTCGATATCATCTCATGTAATTTCATATGAGCACAGCAGTTAATTAATACTGGCGGTATCTAGTAGTAAACAGAGAGTTAAAAGTGCGGCAGTGGTCTGCTTTACAACATAACTTTGATTGTGTGGTTCCCATCCGATTTTCGTAACATAACCTCTAAATCATTTCAAGCCACACAAGTGTTCAAGTGATTTATACGTTAAGTTAGTATGTTAAAGAAACAATAAATCATAGTGCCGAAAGTGGGTTCTTCTAAGGCCGAATTGCTTGAAATGTGGATAAAAATATCTAACCAGCTAGTGACTGACGGGAAAGTTGTTTTTTGCAACGCCTGTTCCAAACAAGTACGTATAAAATAAGGTTTGAAGGCTTTTTTTCTAGAACTCATTGATGAACTCGTTGATTTTTAAGGTGGCGTGTAATCAAAAATATCAAATTGATCAGCATTTATCAACAACTCTCCACCAAGAATCGGAAAAAAGATCAGGTAGCAAATTAAACCAAAGTTTTATTTCTGATGCAATGCCTGAGTCATTACAACAAATCGCTGGAAATGAGTTTTTTTTTCGATTTATGCAACGCCATGGCCCAATCAAATATACCATGAAAGAAATTAGAAAATTGGAAAATCCAGAAACTTTACTGTTTCAAATTTATAGCTATTGTCGTTGTAAATAATATCTTTTTATGCTGTTTTGTAATGTTTATATATTATATTTATATACTATTTGTTACAATGCAACATTAAAAGTAGTATTTATGTGACACATATGCATTTTTTTGTTTTGACCGCATAATATTGTCCATATTTCCGGAATATTACTGCATATTTTGACCAATTTTAAACACAATAAAAAACTTATATTGCTTATTTTTGTCGCATATAAATCCGGGCCTTATTAATGACATAGGAAAGATGTTATCAAGGTTACTGGGACGCAGGGATGATGGGAGATTATCTCTGAGTGTTATCAGAGAAATCGACCCAAAGACATACAATTGTCGAAATGTAATCATATCCCGCACTATACTAACATTGAGTAAGGTAGTATATATTAAACATAAAATTTAATTCCATAAAAGTTCTGTAATATAATTTGTAATATATACCTAGACAATATAAATAAAAAGACAAAGAAAAATTTTGTATCGTTTGTAAGATCAGCCAAGAACCCGAGTGCGCATAGTGAAACTCTGCCAAAACCAAATCCTCCTGACCAATTAATACAATCCAGTAAAAGAGTACAAAAAAGTTATGAGTAAAAATGACAGTGGAGAAATGTCATCTAGCAACGACCGCCAATAAATTTTATCTACGACTGCTTGGATAAGTCATCATTACCGCACTCATTTGAGGTGATTTGAGTTACGTAATGAAGTTCATTACCACACTGGTTTCATTACGTAACGCATTTTTAGCCTAATCAGAACAGACTTAATTTATTGAAACGAGCAACAATACAAAAGAAAAAGTGCTATCTACTTACAGAGAAACAATACTATTTATTATAAACATTAATTGTTATGTTTTTACATTTCAAAACACTTATTCTAGATGACTATACATGTTGCTGAACCTGACAATTCAAAATTGTCAACAATCATTTCAAAATATTTTTATAAATGTCAAATAGACTTTTCTAAAGAAATTGATTTTTTAGTAATTTTTAGCAGTCGTAGATAAAATGCTGTATATCACCCGTGGGCTAGAGCATAATTACAGTACTCGTGTGATTACACGACTCGGTCTACGACCTCGTCGTGCAATTCTCCACACTCGTACTGTAATTATGTTTGTAGCCCACTTGTAATATAAATAACTATTAATTACTTAATATGCTTAATGTTCAACATTTAGAACAGGTAAAATAATATTGATTTCAGTGAATTTAATGTTTATACTTAGTGCCTGGAACAGTTAAAATACCCCTTTATTAAAAAAAATTGTTCGTAATAATGTTTCAACAATACAGTGAAAATGGCAAAAAATGAAATTTTGCACGATTGTCGTATATTAACGATATCTCCGGTAAAATACGTTCGACCATGGTGTCCAATGCTTCGAAATTTAGAGAATTAAATGTTCTACAGGATAGAATAGCAAATAGAATAGCTTTTTTGTTCATATATAATTCTGATCATTACGATGCGATTAAGTGATAAAAAAATGGGAAAAATGAAAAAAAATTTGATTTTGTTGAGTTATTTAGGCTGTAGCAATATAACGGAGAGTCCGATATATGTCATTAATACCTCAAAATGTTCGTCTGGAACTCTACTTTCATGTCCATATAGCTACAGAAGCACACTATGCAAAATAAAAAATATACTGAACATGAACCGTTACTATGTTTTTTAATTTACGATTTTACACGTTTTTGGGAGTGTCGAAAATTGGACGCGATGCAGAAAAACTGAAGAGTTTCAGAATCAGCACAACATTTTACGTTATACAAAAATATCACAGTCTTCGAGATTTTTCTTGTAAACTAGTGTAATCGGAATATTACAGTTGATAATTGGTTTACATCAATCTATCTTGTAGAACGATTGGTGGAAC